CGGAAGGGCTTTCTGCATCGCATTGTGACTGGGGACGAAAAATGGGTTCATTACGATAATCCCAAGCGCAGAAAATCATGGGGAATTCCCGGCCATGCTTTCACGTCGACGGCCAAACCGAATATTCACGGCTCCAAGATCATGTTCTGTATTTGGTGGGCGTAGTATATTATGCCAGCTCGGCGTAGTATATTATGAGCTGTTAAAACCGACTGAAACAATCACAGGCGATCAGTATCGAACGCAATTGATGCGTTTGAGCCGAGCATTGAAAGACAAACGGCCGCAACGAGAGACACGATAAAGTAATTTTGCAGCATGACAATGCTCGACCCCATGCGAAAGTGGTCAAGACATACTTGGAAACGTTGAAATGGGAAGTCCTACCTCACCCGCCGTATTCTCCAGACGTTGCTCCCTCTGACTATCACTTGTTTCGATCAATGGCACACGACCTGGCTGACCAGCACTTCCGATCTTATGAAGAAGTAAAAAATTGGATCGATTCGTGGATCGCCTCAAAAGATGACCAGTTTTTTCGACGCGAGATTCGTATGCTGCCCGATGGGAGAAAGTAGTGGCCAGCGATGGACAATACTTTGAATCTTAAATGTATAACCAGTTTTTTACAATAAAGCCTCGAATTTCAGAAAAAAAACAGTATAAGCAAAGTTATACGCCTTATATTTCAAAACAAAATGAATGAACAGATTAATTACATATAAAGGGTGTCTCAAAATGATCTGACATTTTTAATTCGCGCCATTTTTTTTTTGCAGCGAACATAACGTACTAACCTTTAACATCAGGAAGTATTGAGGTTTAGTCATGGAGAATTACACGATCGAGCAACGCATAGAAATTGTGAAATTTCTTCAGACGAAGTTTCATGGTCGTGTTATTTCGCGCCGCGGCGATGTGAATTGGCCACCAAGATCGTGCGATTTGACGCCATTGGACTTCTTTCTTTGGGGTTTTCTGAAAAGAAAAGTGTATGCCAATGATCCACAGACCATTCCGGAGTTGAAGGAAGAAATTAGACGTACCATTAATGAAATTAGTCCGCAATTATGCCAAAATGTCATTGAAAATTTTGTCAAAAGAATGAACGTTTGCAAATAGAGTCAAGGCGGCCATTTATCGGATATTGTGTTCCACATATAACCTCCATGTTTGTACTTTATATTAAACTAAAAATATGTGTACTTTTCAAATAAATAATATGTTTTATTAATACATTAAAATGTCAGGTCATTTTGAGACACCCTTTAATAAAAGTATTGACTACTACTTTTTCCCATCTCTCAGGCAATTTTCGAATTCCATCTCAAAAAAATGATTCGTCTTTGGAGGCGATCCAATTTTGGAGCCAATTTTCGATTTCTACGAAAGAAGTCAACCGGTGACGTGTTGTATCCTTCGGAACAATCAATAATCAGAAGGAGCAATGTCCGGAGAATATGGCGGGTGCGGTAAAACATCCCATTTGAGTTCCAAATATTTTTTTACGACTTTTGCGACATGAGCGTTGTCATGAAGAAAAATAACTTTATTATGTCTTTGTTCGTATTCCGGCCGTTTTTTTCGCAATGCACGGCTCAAACGAATCAATTGTAGCCGATCGCCCGTAATGGAATCGCCAGGTTTCAGCAGCTCATAGTAAACAGCATCCTTTTGATCCCATCAGATACAGAGCATGATCTTCGAACCATGAATGTTCGGCTTTGGTGTTGATGTTGAGGTCGATGGCAACGATTGACCGGACTTAGCATAGTATTTTTTCTTCTTGGGATTGTCGTAGAATATCCACTTCTCATCCTTATTTATATAAGGATTGAAAACGGAGAATGGAAAGTTCTTCGGTACCAGGCGCTTTTGTTTTAGAGTTGCGATTAGGAAACATGTCTGACTGCATGGTTTTGAGCCAATAGCGTTTTGCGTTCTGAATTTTTTCGGGGCGCAAGGATGCAGTATTCATTTGCGAGTGTTTCGAAAGTCGGAGTCAACTCAGACAACGATAAAGGTACGCGGTAATTTGTAGAATTTTGGCCACGAAGAGTAGCTCGAGATCCCACTGGGAGTAGCGTGCAAGACGTCCGCATACCGGAGACTCCGGATGTTGTTCGAGAGGAATATCGGAGGGTACTGAAGGATACGGGTTCGGCCAGGATTCGGGAGGATAATGTAGCCATGGAGGGCCTGACCACCATAAGGCGTGTATCTTGAAAAGATCGGGAGCGAGACCGTAGTCGGGAGTGAAGCGCAGTGGATTGGTATGCGTCGAAACATGACGCCAGGGAATTCCAGGGAGGAGTGATTGGACAGCCGAAACGCGATTGGAGACAAAGGTTTTCCATTGGGACGGTGATTGACGTAGCCAGGCGAGTGCAATGGTGGAATCCGTCCAGCAGTGGCACTCAAGGTTAGGGAATTAAAGCGATGAGTGCGCGAAATGCGTCAAGCATGCGAGAAGCAACGTCATGGATAGCTCTAATCGCGGGATGCTGATCGTTTTAAGAGGGGCCATTTTTGATTTGGCGGCGAGAAGTGAGACGGTGGCTGAGCCGTCTATATTGACAGTACGAAGGTATACTGCCGCGGCGAAAGCTGCGGCCGAGGCGTCGGAAAACCCATGAAGGACGTAGCATAGAGTGTGAGATCCGTAAGTAGTCCAACGCGGAATGCTAATCGCGTTGAGACACGAAAGTGTTGTTGATGGAAATTGAACCAGCAATCCAGAAGTTGGCTGGGAACGTCGTCATCCCACTGGCATTGAAGTGACCACAGTCGTTGCATGAAAATTTTAGCGGTAATAATGATGGGAGAAACTCTAGAGGATCAAAAAACTTGGCGATGATCGACAGAATGACTCGTTTGATTCTGGCAGGGGATGATGGTACGGTCACGCGGAATTGAAAAATATTTCGCGTAGGATTTCACAATATTCCTAGGATCTTCAGATGCTCATTGTCTTGAAGAACTTTATGAATGATGGCTAAAGCGTGATCCGCGGGATCAAGATCGGACAACAGAGCGGTGGCATTGCTTGCCCACTTTCGAAGGTGAAAGCCTCCTTTCTTTAATAATTCTCAATTGATCGCGTGTTTGTCGAGCAAGAATTTGATTGTCTGCGCCGAAAGTGCAATCATCGACGTATACAGTAAGTCAAGTAAGATCATGGTCGGCCTTACTCAAAGCTAATAAAAGATATCGCCCTAAATCTATCATGAATCCATAGAGGGCACTTTTGTCCTTGATGTATTATCAAGGAAGATTCAGTTATCATTGAACTTTCTTAAAAGAATCACATTAAGCGCCAATATCAAATACGCATCACGCTATGAAGCTGTGTTCTTCTGTACTCACCCAAAAATGTCACAATTAGCGGCTGCTAAATATATGAAAAAATCGAAATCATTCGTACAGAAGTAGGTGCAGCGATATAATATGGCAAAAAATATCGATGATTTACCAGAACGTGGCTCAATATGCAAAGTGGATAAAAAAGACGATAAAAAAATAGTGAATCTGTTTTCGCGGAATCCTGACTTAACACTGCGTCAAGGACAAGCAAAATTGAAGCAGAAAGGTTTAGATATTTACGAAAC